ATTACCTGAATAAAGCCAAGTGCCGGGGACCTAAGTGGTCACCTTAATATATAAAAAAAAAAAAAAAAAAAAAAAAAGTACTGTAAATGTGTATAAAAAAAATTTTAATGAATTATATAACTAATTTACAAATAATAGAACAGTCCCATCTAGATATTTTTCCCTATTACTTTACTGTCAAGGTACTATAAAATTAATTAATAGCACAAATACTATATAAAATTTAGAATAAATAAATAATTATGTAAATATATATGTATATATTAAATAAAATGAACCCAATTTATCGAGTCAAGATTAAAACAACGAATTGTCATCCATATTTAGTATTGTAGATTTGAAAATTGTTGCAGATTATGGTAAAATCAGAATATCATGAAATCTAGAGCCTTAATTTAAAAATATAAGTCCTTACAACCTTAACAAAGCTTACTTATATTCTTCTATTATAATCCCTTCTGTGCGAAATGCCCCCCAAATACTCGAAGACACTGTCCACATGCTCACATGTCCGCACAACCCAGCGAAAATTGATGAAATTATACATAAAGCAATAACTAAATATGCCAAACAAACAACATAAACACACCAACAACTTACGAGTTTATACAAGACTTCATTACAACCCATATTGAAAAACAAATTCCTATCAGGTTTATCAGCACAACAACATTTACAAAATTAGAATCAACTCTTCAAAACATTACTATAATCTCACAAATATACCACACTATTACTAAAAGTATACATGATGAATTATGGAAACCAAGTAGAACCCGCATACAACAGACTACTCCTAACCCCTTAATTATCATCACCCTGTTAGAAATTAATACTCCTCTTAGCTCTATAGATAGACAATTCATTGCATGGATTAACAAATTTATTTACAATAATTCTACATTCCCACTCTCTAATTACATAGCCTAGAGGTTTTCGACCGTTCTAGCTAAGAATAGGTCGAGGGTAAACCTTAGCCCTAACTTCTACTCCCTTTCGTTAAATATATAAATTTGTACAAGTTGTATCCAATTATATATTTTGAAATAAAGGAATAGAGGAAAGATCTCTTTTAAAAAAAAAAAAAAAAAAAAAAAAAAAAAAAAATTATAATAAGCATGTTTTCTTGTAATGTCAAAATTAAGCAGAACACAAAAATTATTTCTTGTTACCAGAAAAATTATATCTCTCTAATCTATTGAGTTAATTCTGTTATTACTGAGGATTTTTGATCTTAGAGCTAATTTTTGTAACTCTGTAAGATTTTTTTTATGTATTCTCTTTAGAATATTTGTATAAAATAGATCATCTAGTTAACATATTAGTTTTTTTAAAATAATTATATACTTAATACTTAACCAAAAATTTTTTCTTGCAATTTTGGTAACAGAATAGGAATTAATTGATAATAGATCATTATTATATTTTTTTTAGCAGATTTTGAGAAAAATAGAATATTATTAGAGAGAATAGAAAATTTTGAAAATATTATCTAATACATATAAAGCAGTATCTAAGACTGGAGATAATTATATAAAATCACTAACAAATAAAATATTCAATTTAGCAAAGAGAAAGAAATTATCTATTGCTTTTAATTTTTTTATAAAAAAATAAAATTAAGCTAAAAAATTTTTGCTAATTATAAATATCTTCTCTAAAATAGCATACTCTATATCAACTTATAATTCTTAGAACTAATATAAAGATTTATCTGATAAAGCGACTAATTTTTTGCCACTTTTACTAAAACCAAAGCTGCATGTTGTGAGAGGCAGAATCGATCCAGTTTCTCCAAATATAGTCCTCATAGATATCAACTAATGCTAAACTAATCTATATCAACACTTTAGCAACTAAACTCTATCTAAACCCTAATAGAGAAAGATATAAAAGAGAGCATGGAAAGACTTAGTCCAAGTTATTAAGGCCAAATAGAGCTATAGACTATATCATGAGGCTCTAATTCAGGATTACAGAATTATAAGTTTATTATCATAGAAGTAGGAAAACAAATTTCTATGAGTTTATATATAAAATATTAACTTGCGATAACTATATAGTAACTACTTTATTCAAGGTAAACTCTTAGCCTTTATATGGGGACTCCTACAGCAAAACAAACCAGTGGGCAAAAAATTTTGATTTTGTAATTTTATAAAAATTGTATTTCTAATACAGTCAGACCCCTCTAAATACACCCTCCCTAAATGCAACACCCCTCTAAATATATTATTAAGCCCGGGCCCATGGTGGGACTTATAGATAAATGCATATTCTTTATTCTGTAAGTGCACGCTAACCATCTGGCCTACTTATAAAAACTCCCATAAATGCATTCACGGGATTATCAGCCAATCAAATTCATTATTTCAAGGCTACTAAAGCCACATTATCACGTGCTAATAGTAACATTGTGATTTTATTAGTGTTCTCTAATTGCAGCCCTCCCTAAATATACGCTCTAGAGGTGGTCCCGGCGATATGCATTTAGAGAGGTCTGACTGTACTTCAATTCTTCAAGAAATTAAGTTTTTTAAAAAAAAATTTTTTTTGCCTACTGATTTGTTTTGCTGTAGGAGTTCCCATATACATTTTTTAGTTGTTATCTAATTCGCTAATTCTATCTAACATATATAACATATCTAACATATATAATATATATAATATAAGAGTGTGGTGACTTAGTGAAGTGGTGGAGTTGTCGCACCTCCAGACAGCAGGTCTAGAGTTCAAATCTCACGGATGACGATTTTGAAAATACTAGATCTGTATCAGTTAACGTTAAGATTATTAGTTGGATTCAGATATCAGTAATCTTGGTCACACCATCTCGAATAGAAGCTTTGGCGCAATAAATCCAGGAAACTGGAATTACTGAAAACCCATTTGGCAAGTCCCGAGTAGGGAGGTAGTATGATTTTTGATAGTGCTACAGGAAGACCGAATTTGGAATTGGAGACCAAGACCAGAGAACCAAGTGACCAGGTCCTTAAGTGAGGAGACACACCAGCTGAACCGCTGGGTTGCCAATTGGAGAAAAAGGACATGTGCTCTGGAAGCATGTACCAAGGGAAGAGAGACTGTAAGGCACTTAAAGCCTGGGCAGACTGACTCTTCTGGGTTGCCGGCTAAAAGTAAGGGAGAGATTGGTAAAGAATTCAAGAAAGAAAAAAAGTTCGAATATGGGTACTAGGGTTGTGTGAACCTTACAAGGGTGAGGAGTATGTAATAGAAGACTAATTAGAAAGGTTGTGGCTTGAGATATGAATCGGGTTACGACAGTATCCTAAAGGATAGCTTGAGATACAAACCTGGTAACGGCAGCACAACAGGTACTAATTAGAAGGAAATTACTGAATATGCAGGTATAAACATATGTGAGACATGGACTACTCTGTTAGGTTTACCTCGTAGATAGATTAGCCAGAAATAATTAGTAAGTCCTAAGATGAGTGCAAAATCTACAGGTATCGCAAAAACCTACGTATGAATAGTGAGTTACACCTTGATTAACTTAGAAATGGACAGCAGTTGTGACTAGAGGGTTTAAATGGGTATCCCTATAGTTGGGATGCAGGTACGGTAGCTAGTGTGGAACCTAGAGCAGACTACTTAAATAGGCAACCAAAAGTTGTATAGATGGCTAGTCATACTCTCATTAGTAATAATCAGAGAGCTTAAATAGATAATCTTCTAGTTAGGTTGCAGGTATGGTGGCTAGTGTAGAACCTAGGCGGACTACTTAAATTAGGTACTAAAAGTATATATGTGGCTTGATGTACTCTCGTTGTAACTGTATAAACTGAAGTTAATAAGTCTAATAAAAAGTCCCCGGCTGTAGAGGTCACCTTAACGCCAAATATATATATATATATATATAATATATATAACATATATAACACATCTAACATATTTAACATATCTGACATATCTGATGGATATGATATATCTAATATATCTGTTAGATATAGCAGAATTTTTCTGGTATATTTTGATTTACTACGTCAAAAAAATGATTTTAAGCCACAATTCATCCTTTCACATACTCCCAATCTTAATTTTGAGTTCTACAAGAAAAGAACCAAGTATGGAAATGAAAATACAAATGTAAAATTTTTTTTTTTTTTTTTTAATCACTTTCAATGTTGTTGTTATGTTTATCGAAATTATTTTCAAGTGCAGAATGCATAGAGGCAGCGGTTACAGAGACCTGAAGCAGCTGTTGAAAGTTTTTGGCAGTTAATGTTGTGATTTTTGCCAAATTCATATAGGTGGTTTGACTGATTTGTTCAACTCCAAGAAGCTCAAACAATTCATGAATGCGAACAGTTGTAGTGAAGTAATGGAGAGTCATTCTTGTTCTCTGTACTGTTCTTTGCTCAGAAGTTAATTCTGCAATTATAGCACCTAAATAATAAGCTGTCTATTTTGTGTCCTTTTCTTGAGGACCTAGTTATAGCTTAGTAGGTTCTTTGCATCTGCATTTCGACAGGGTCTGTGGCAGCATATGGAGATGGAAAAGGTATTATCTGTTTTGGTTGAGTAGCCAGAAGGTTATTGATAAGGGAACTAAAATCTGTAAACATCCTTAATTGTTTTGAATAATATGCTGTAGACTACTGTTCTCTATTTATACTTTTTCTTTTGTAATAAAATTTTAATAGCTTTCTGTTAATAGGTATTGCTAACACTTTTTTTCTTATTTTGCAAAGCATATACGTGCTATTCATAAGGATAGTATAAATATTATATAGGCTCATCTATTTTAGTATTAGCTTGTGGCTCCTGGTATTTATAACTTCAGAAAATACTTTGTTTTCTATTGAAGAGTCAAGTGGCTTTAAAGATATTCTATGGCTTTGGAGTGATAGTACGAATTTGAATTTGATCTGAGCCACTACAGCACTGATCACTGTTATCTTCTTAGAAGCTTTTTTTTAATTATCTAGATGCTAGGCCACCGACTACCTAGGCTGAATTAGATTTACTATTAGATTTCTTTACTTCAAATAGGCAATGCTTCATCTTTTTCATTACTAATTCTGTTTTGATAACAATATCCAATGTTGTACTTGGATTAATTAGTAGATACACTTTGACATTCCTCTGGTGCTTCTCTTAAATCTTACCTAGTAGGTAATGTGGACATTTCCTTCTTTATTCCTGCCTCTTATCTACTTCTTCTGTTGTTAATCTATCCTCAATTATTAATGTGCTTCATCACTATTATAACCCACTATATTCTGATTTTGTTATGTCTATTCTCTTATTTTAGTACTTTATTTTTCCATATTTCACTCTAATACAATACTTCAATAAGGATATTCTAATTTTATTGTGAATTCAGTTCACGATATTACGTAATTATAATTCGCAGTTAATAGTAATTAACTGCTTATTTAACTTTAGCTTCTTTTCATATGCTATCCAACCAGGTTGTTAAATATACAGAGCCAAATTTTCTTTAACCAATTTCTATCTTTTTAATTGTTTACCATTTTCCACTTTACAATAATATAACTATCATAGTTGTACCAATTTAAGAGTAGAGAATTTTTATAACCAATTTCATAGTAGTTCTTCAATTTTTGGATAAATTCTTGCTTATTATTGTTTGAATCATGAATTGCTTTAAGTGCAACTTTGCACCATGCATTATTAATTATATCGAACCAACATACATAATATATAGTTGCAAACCCTTCTTCTTGCAATTCAACAAAACTCTGAACTTATTATAATTAATCTATGATAGTTTAAATCTTTCAATCTTAAGTTCAGAATTAATATAATTTGGTGATTCATTAGTCTTCAAAAGGTTTCTGTATTTTCTAGTCGAATAATTTGGTTTTTGAATATCTCTTTGTATACTGATACTATTTCAATACAGTTGAGCAGCATTACTTATTGCTGTTTTATTACCTATATTAGCAGATTTTTGAAGATAAATAAATGCATCATTTTCATCTTTCTCGGCTTTCATCACCTGATTCATCATGTATAATCTTTGATTTTTTACTAATGTCATAAGTTTATTTCCTAACATGCTCTTGGTTACTATTAGTATAAGTAGCAGCAAGCTAATACTGAGATTAAATAAGGTGAATCTTCATGTGATTGGATTGCTAGTTCTTTTTTTTTTTGGTTTACTTATGGTCTTAATTTTTTATTTATCTTCAGCTTTGGCTTTTTTAATATATTTAAGCTATATATGCTTTTTTATTTTTGGCCTACTATTTTTAATTTCTATACCATTTTGATAGCTAGTATGTGTTCGTCTAGCTCTGTCCATCTTTGTTTGTTGTTGATATTTATTAAGTGCACATATTTGTCTTGTTCAATTACACACAGCTGACTATAACTTATTTGAACCTCTTCAGTTTTATTAGATTTTTCAATTCTTTTATTAGTCTTATTAACAAATAGTTTTTTATCTTCATCTGGTTTTTTTATAGCTTTTGATTTGACTTTTTATAGCCATTCGGGCTCAGCCAACCTTTAGGAATCACATTGTTGCATAGATACCAACTTTCATCATCATTATTGTTATTAGGTTTAAAGTTTATGAAACCATTCAGGTATATTTTATATTTATCATCTTTAATTATTTTATTTCTATTATGCTTATCTTTTTTTTGATCTAATTCATCTGACTTTGTCTTATCCACTTTAGCTAACTTTTGATGTTTTGTCCTAATTTCATTTTCAACTTTTATCTCTTTATCTAATTCAGAGGTTTCTTTATTTATTTTGATACTTACTCCAAAATCAACTTGTAACTTTTCTCTCACCTTTTGCGGCTTCTGATAACTAGTAGATGCCTTATATTCACTATTTTCAACTTCAATTCTATCATCATATCTAATAGCAAACATATTACTAGTATTACTTATCTTGACAGGTTCTATATTTCGTTTACAGAATATTTTTCTTTTTGGCTGATTCTTTTGGGTTTGAATGGGACCCAATAGACTATAGTTAAATGTAATTTTATAAGCAGCTAACTTTAAATAAGATGTATGGATTTTCTTTACTCTCGTCTCAGCTTTATCTAACTTTTCTTTCTTTTTATTTATATCATAAACTTCCAGATTGTTACTGTTAAAACATGCCTCTTTGTATTTAGACTTTACAAAGTAAACTTTAGAGGTATCTATTCTTCGGTTTGGACTTTTATATAATGACAATTGTATGATTTTCTCTGCTTTGCTTTCTTTTTTTATCATAACTTCTACTAATTCTAATATAAGCTTCAGAGCTTTGAGAACTTGATTAGCATTAAGGCTATTGCTAAAATGTTTATTTATTATTTCTTGAACTACTTCAAGTTGTTCCATAGTAAGTATTTGAAGAAGCATCATATAATATACTTTTTATTTAATTTCTTCACAACAAGATATATAGATACTGTGTGCCTTTTTAGGTTACAATAGGAGTACTATAATCTTTTTTGAAAGGCTTCTTAAGATGTTTTACAATTCCAAAGCTTCCTTTGAACTTTTGATAGTTAAGTTTCTTTTGTTATATATATATTTTTCTTCAGATATTAGTAAAATTTGGCTTGACTTGCAGTAGATACTTGATTTTGGTGATTATCATTATAGTAAAAATCTATTTCTCGGTACTGGATTGTATAAATTCTTTGCTTCAAGTGAGTTTAGAAGTCCAATCTCACAGTTACTACCAAATTGTGAAGGGCAGAATTGATCTGATCTTTTCAAATATAGTTCTCATGAATATTAACTAATGCTAAACTAATCTAAATCAACACTCTAACTACCAAACTCTACCTAAACTCTAATAAAGAAAGGTACGAAAGAGGGCGTGGAAAGACTTGGTTCAAGCTATTAGAGCCAAATAGAGCTATAGACTACATCACGAGGCTCTAATTCAGGATCACAGGATTATAAATTTATTATCATAGAAGTAAGAGAATGAACTTCTATAAGTTTATGTATAAAATGTTAACTTGCAATAACTAGTAACTACTTTATTCATGATGAACTTTTAGCCTTTATATATATTTTTCAGTTGTTATCTAATTTGCTAATTCTATCTAATATATATAATATATCTAACATATATAATATATATAATGTATATAATACATCTAACATATCTAACATATCTGACATATCTGACAGATATGATATATCTGACATATCTGATATATCTGTTAGATATGGCAGATCTTTTCCAGCCCATCTCGATCTACTATGTCAAAAAAATGATTTCAAGCCACAATTCACCCTTTCACAATATAAAGTGAATAGTATTTCTATAAATATT